CCCCCCCCCCAGCCCCAGGAGTGTTGGAGAAGATCACACAGCTCCCCGCCCCTCCTGGAAAAAAAAATTTAAATAACAGCCTGATAGAGAAGGCAGGGAGGGGGGCAGGGAGGGAGGACCCGGAGAGAAGAGAGAGACAGAAACGGAGAGGAGAGGCAGGAGAGGGAGAGGTGGGGGGAGAGGGAAGCTGGAGGCAGACGGGAGAGGGAGGAGGTGAGAAGGGAGAAAGGAGCGAGGGAGCTGGAGGAGATGGGGCAGCGAGATGGAGGCAGGGGTTAGGTGGCTCGGGAGAGCTTAATGAAAAGGGGACCAGGAGGGGGGTGTGGATTCCAAGCCGAGAGGTAACCCCGGAGAGAGGCTGAAGGCAGAGAGAGGAGGAGGCTGAGTCGAGGTGGAGGGCAGACAGGAGGGTTTGGAGGAAAGAGGAGGTGAGGAAGGAGGAGAGGCAAGAGAGAGGGGAGAGGAGTGGGTTTGGGGGCTCCCCATCCCCAGCTACTTTGGGATTCAGGGAATTGGGGCTCATTGTTGAGGAGGTGAAGAAGCTTGGAAGTCCTGGAGCGAGAGGGTCTCAGAAAGAGGAGAGGGAGGAGCTGAGGGGGGGCAGGGGGTTGGGAAAGGTCCCTTCAAGGCCTCCTGGGGATGGGAGGTGCCGCTCGCCTGAGCGCCCCTCGAGCGCTGGTACTCTGGGCCGCACTGGGGGCGGCAGGTAAGACCCTGGGGGTCGGGGCAGGAGCCCCGAGGGTGGGCTGGGGGTGGGGGTGTGCCAGGAAAGAGGTTCAGGCTGTTCTCTTCCCAGCTCACATTGGACCTGCACCTGACCCCGAGGACTGGTGGACCTACAAGGATAATCTCCAGGGAAACTTCGTGCCAGGTGCAACCAGGGCGGGGACCCAGGAGTCAGGCCCCCAAGGCGCCTCCTCCTTCAGACTTGCGGTCTCAGTTCCCAGCCCCGAGGCTTCTGCTAACCCGGGAGTCCCAGCACCCCATCCCCCTGGTGTCTGGGCCCGGCCTCTGAACCCCGGGGGCTCACTGTGGGACATTGTACATGCGCATTTCAAGTAGCGAGTGGGAGTGAGTGGAAGGAAAAGTGTGGGGGTGGAAAAGAGTGTGTGTTTGCAGAGAATGAGGCGGATCTTGACTTCCGCTGGGAAGCGGAGGTTCAGCATCCCGGGTCCCCCACCTTGTCCAGCCCTCTCTTGCACCTCCTCTGCCCAATTGAGTCGTAATCCAGCTGTGGGACAGGACACCGACAGAACTACAACTCCCGTGGGGCACTGGGGCAAGCAGGCAGCGGATGGATAGGCTGGCCGCCTTAGCGACTTCTGGGAGTTGTAGTTCCTTTCCCCAATGACATAATTTAAGATGGGTGGACCGACGAGAGGCCGGAGGCATAACTGGGTTTTAGTAAACTGCTCCAAATTCTTTCAGGACCGAGGGTTCTAGACCCCATCCTTTTGCTTCCTCGCCGTCCAGGCCCTTAACTCCTCCCCATAAACCCAGGAGCCCAGACCGTAGTTCTCTGTCCCTAGGTCCCAACATTGGGATCTTTGCCCTATTTCTGACTCCCTGTCCTCCTGAACCCCTTGCCCCTAGGGCCTCCTTTCTGGGGCCTGGTGAACGCAGCCTGGAGCTTGTGTGCTGTGGGCAAGCGGCAGAGCCCGGTGGACGTGGAGCTGAAGAGGGTCCTTTATGACCCCTTTCTTCCCCCTCTGAGGCTCAGCACTGGGGGAGAGAAGGTAAGGAGTCTGGCGAGGGGTTACTGAATCCTATGGGGGTGGGTAGAAGTGGGGGCTGAGGGAGGATGGATGAGATGGGGGGCAGCATTGGGGAGGGGTGTCCACCACTGAGGAGAGGAAGCACTTTACCCTCTAAAATGGAATCACCTCTTCTTCCTTCCCTAAACTTGACTCCCCAGCCTTCCAGCTTTGTAGAAACAGAAGATAAAAAACATTTCCTGTGCTAGGCACTGTTTGAAAAGCTTGAGGGACCCCTCTGATGGACATAACAACCTCATGAAAGCCCTTCTATTACCATTCCTCTGTTATGGAGGCGGAAATTGAAAGCAGCACAGAGAGACTGAGTCACTTGCCTGGGATCACACAGCTAGAAGGTCCTCTCTGGGATGCAAATCCAGGCAGTGTGTTGCCAGCCAACCATACCCTTGCCTACTTGGTAACCCCATTTCTATTAAGCACCTCACTCCATCCAGCCACTTCCAGCCAAAAACTTCGGATTTGGTGGTACCCATCCTTTCCCTCCTGCCCCATTCCCAACTCAAGTTCTTCGGGGCCTCTCTGCTCACCAGCCCTCAGTTCCTTCTCCTCCTGGTAGTTTCTGGGAGCTTCCATGCTGCCCTGCCTCTTTGCTTCCAACAATCACAGCTAAAGAGAAGCTTAACAATGCAAATCAGATTATAGGACTCTCTTGCTCAAAGTCCGAATAGGATAAATGGTGCTAGCAACTATTCACACAGAACCTATAGAAGTGTCTGGCACTGTGCCAGGAGTGTTTTACTTGTTTATTTATGTAAAATACATGAGACTTCTCATTATTGCTCACCTGGCCCTCCTATACTTTGTTCTTTGCTTACTGAGCTCCTGACGCACTGACCTTGGCTGTCCCCAAAATAGACCACCCCAGGGCCTTTGCACTTTTTTTTCCCCTGGAATACCCTTCTTACTCTTTGCAACTAACTTTTGCTTATACTTTAGATCTTTGTTCACATGTCACCTCTCTAGACCGGGCCCGCTATTCTCTTTTCTCAGAACTTCCTGTTTCCCTTCTTTCATGAACATTGCTGATGTTGTGTACCATTGGGTAGGAAATGACCCATAGCTGACCCTCTGGCAGGATTGCAGAGGCAGTAAGTCACATAGAAGGAGACTGACCACTTTTCTCCCCCAGAGTGGCTGGTAGAATCAAACCATGTACCTTTGCATTGGCAGGATATTTCCTTACCATAATCTACCAGATCACGGGATTGCTATGAGTTGTACTTGACTTGATGGCACCTACCAACCGAGTTCCTGTCATATTGTTGTTGTTATGTGCCTTCGAGTCACCTGCAAACCATAATGACCCTACCTGCAGCAGCTCTGAAGCCTGCCCTGTCCGGAGCCAGTCTCACTAATTACAACACATCCAACTTTCATTGCTCCAGGTTCTGTATCAATCCATCTCATCCAGGGTCTTCCTATCATTGTTGTTGTTATGTGCCGTCCAGTCGCTTGCGACTCATAGCGACCCGATATACAACAGCCCTAAACTCTGCTCTATCCTGTGCCAATCGCACTGTCTCTGACACTCCCATCCCGATTATCCCAGTCACTGAATCAATCCACCTCATAGAGGGCCTTCCTCTCCTGCACCATCCCTCCACCCTCCCAAGCATGATGTCCCTCTCCAGGGACCAGTCTCTCCTTACAACATGTCCAAAGTATGTTAGACGGAGCCTCAGAATCCTTTCCTCCGAGGAGCCACCCGGTTTAACCCTTTCCAGGAGGAATCTATTTGTTTTCCTAGCATAGGTTGTAATTCATTAAGCTGTTACTTCTGTGACTGTGTATTTACTGGGAGCCAGGTTGCTCTGACAACCCAAAGACAGTTAGAATCCACTGGCTGTTCTGAGGAAGATAGATGGGCAGTCTCTTTCCATATGATTGACAGCTTCTGGAAACCCATTAGACAGTTGACTGTGAATGGCTTCTGACTCGATAGCACATAACAACAACTTCCCCATTAAAAAAGAATCTCCATGAGACTCAGGCGTTTTGTCTACTTATTAGCTGCTGTTCTTGGCATCCATGGAACATAGTTGCACTCAATACATGTGTTAATTACACGAGTCCAACCAAGATTGAAGGCGCTCAGCTGGTGTAGTCTGTAGGCGAGTTGTGGTGCTGTTATTCCAAGAGGCCCTGCCTTCCTGACAGTTCGAATACCCCCAGCTGCTCTGAGAGAAACAGGCCCTCTCTTCCCATGCTGTTTACAGCCTCAGAAACCAGCTGGAGCATCAGCTGGGAACCCGTTCCACCTCAAAGGCAATGTGTGAGCAAGGGAACCAATACACTTCCCAAAGACCAAGAGGAATTCTAGTTGTGCAGTCGGAACCCACTAGCCCACTTTAAGAGAGAAAGTTGGGGCAGTCTGTTTGCATAAAGGTTGTTGTTATTGTTAGGTGCCTTCACATTGGGTCAGACTTATAGCAACTTTACATGGGACAGGAGGAAAGAGATGACCCTTACTGTTGTTTATGTTAATCTACCTTGTTGAGGGTCTTCCTCCCTCTACCAAATGTGATAGCCTTCACCAGGGATGGGCCCCTCCTGGTAAGATGCGCAAAGGACCTAAGACAAAGTTTCACCATCCTTGCTTCTGAGAAGCATTCTAGCATTTTGTTCAAAGGCAGAATTGTTATTAAACATCACAGCTTGTGGAAGCCCTGTGGGACAATTCTCTGCCCTACTAGGTGGCTGTGCATTGAAATCCACTGACAGCAGTGGGGTTGTTTTTTGGTGACATGGTTCAGCGGAGAGCTTGGCAGACAGTCGATGCTATTAGATAACGAAAAGCTGTTGGAAACGGGCAATTGTTGAAGTGGAGACTGGAAGAGAAAAGAATCTCTGTCCATCACAGCTCCGGGGAACCCTGTATAACACTGGCCGCCACGTCTCCTTCCTGCCTGCGCCACGGCCCGTGGTCAACGTGTCTGGGGGTCCCCTCCTCTACAGCCACAGACTCAGCGAACTACGGCTGCTTTTCGGAGCTCGCGATGGAGCTGGCTCTGAACACCAGATCAACCACCAGGGCTTTTCTGCTGAGGTGACTGGCAGATGATCTCTAACCCTTGGTCCCAACACCAATCTTTAACATTTTCCTACACTTTTCACCCTATCCTCCTGGACATAAGTGGTCCCCTGATAATAGACACTGACCCTCATCTTAACCCAAGATCCTCAAGGTTCCAGAATTGGGGCCATCCTCTTTTCTCCTTCTCTTGGGGAACCCCCTTTCTGTCCCCTTCTCTCAGGTGCAACTCATCCACTTCAATCAGGAACTCTACGGGAACCTCAGCGCTGCCTCCCGAGGCCCCAATGGCCTGGCCATTCTCAGCCTTTTTATCAATGTGAGTCTGGCAAGGTTCTGAGGGATAAAGTGGGTGATGGCCCGGATTCTGGGGTCTAAGGACGGCAGAAGGAAGGAGCCTGGGACTCCAGCATCCTGGGTCCTGGTGGCGAGGGACCTGAAGGCCTCTTCCCCTTGTACCCCCACAGGTGGCTGGCAGCTCGAATCCTTTCCTCAGCCGCCTCCTCAACCGCGACACCATCACTCGAATTTCCTACAAGAGTGAGTCCCTTGTGTGCTTAGAAGGGGATCGCCCAAGTGGGGGTGTTCTCCGAAGGACACCCTCCACTCAGGTCGATGTTCCTGCAGATGATGCCTACTTTCTTCAAGACCTGAGCCTGGAGCTTCTGTTCCCCGAATCTTTTGGCTTCATCACCTATCAGGGCTCTCTCAGCACCCCACCCTGCTCGGAGACTGTCACCTGGATTCTGATTGACCGGGCCCTCAATATCACCTCCCTCCAGGTGACCCTCTGCCCCTGATGCGGGGAGATCTGCATCCTCCCTTTAAATTCCTTTTTTCCGCAATGACCTAGAACCCCAGAGGGCAAGGGGCAGGGCGATGGGGGCGTGGCGCTGAGCACATGCCCCGCCTACCACGCGCCAGGGGCGGGGCTTCCCGTGACATCTCCCAGACAAACCCTGTTCACGCCCAGTGTTCCCTTTCCTTGGCAGATGCACTCTCTGAGACTTCTGAGCCAGAATCCTCCATCCCAGATCTTCCAGAGCCTCAGCGGTAACGGCCGGCCCCTGCAGCCCTTGGCCCACAGGGCTTTGAGGGGCAACAGGGACCCCCGGCACCCTGAGAGGCGTTGCCGAGGCCCCAACTATCGTTTGCATGGTATGGTCCAGTCTGCATCCCTCCCCACGTTTTGGTCTAATCCTCCTATGTGTTTCCCCCCACCATGGTGTCTCACTATGGCACAGTCCATATTTTGCTGTTTCAGTACTGTCCTCATTCTCCTCCCTCCGTGTGAGTTTGGTACCGCCCACTTCCCCTCTTTGAACCATTGGTGGTCTGCGATTATCTGTCTTCCCTGTTCACACTGCTTTGCAACTCGAGCGCCCTGGCTTCCTTGTTAATGTGGCATCTTAGTTAGAACAACCTGGGCCCACCTCTCTTCCTAAGTGGTATAGCCCGAACAGCAAACAGCAAGCATCAGCTTGGTACAATCGCTTTCTGTTCCCACCGCTTGCCTGTGATTTAGACCTGTGACCTGCCGCCAGGCTGGTTAACCAAACATGGTACAGCCCCGATCCCCCCGCGTAACCATCACTTAGTCCAGTCTAGTGTGGAGGGACGTCCCCAGTCCACCCTCCTGCCCAGTACTGAAGCCTGGAGCTGCACCACCTGGTACATTTTGGTTCCCCCTTCGCAGCTCCCCAGTGCAGAGCTCCACGTTCCTGACTCTTGTCCTCCCCTTACATTCCCACTGCGCCCTAAACTAATGACACCTCCTGTATGTGTCCTCTTTCAGTGGATGGTGGCCCTCATGGTCGCTGAGACTCCCCACCGAGGACTGCACCTGCCTGTCCCAAGCCTATCTAGGAGAGGGAAGTCACCTCAAAACAAACCAATTAAAGGGACAGAATTCTTCCAGTTTCTCAGTGGTCTGATTGTAGGCGCGGTGGGGAAACCCTTGGGGTATTAACCAGGAATAGCCTTCTTCCAGAAACCAATCGCTCTCTTTCAAAACCATCAATAATCGGCTTTTTGGATTTCACTTTTTCAAAAATCAATCATTTAGACTTCCGGCTCCTTTAAGTGGCGTCTTCAGCCGGGTACCCCCTCCTTTCTCAAGCAGCACGCGCGAAGCCATGTGCTTCCTCCACCCGCTTGCCTCATTGGCTCGAAGTGGGTGACGGTCCCGCCCTCTGTGCAGCCTCCCATTGGGCAAATGTAGGTCAGGGTCCCGCCTTCTTCCAGAAGGCAAGGCAACTTCACGCGTCCAGCCCCTCATGTGCCCTCCCGGGTCCTGGCAGATCTAGGGCGTCCCATTGGCTGTGCGTCTCAAGAGACCGAGACGCGATTGGCCCGTGAGTGCAGCCGGAGGGAGGCACGCGGCTGGGGTGCACCGCCGAAGATGCGGGTGGGGCTGGGCAGGCGCGTGCGGGGGCCGGGAGGAGGGGCCCGCGCTGTGGCGTCGGGTGTTTTGGTTTGGCTTTTTTTTTTTCCGCGAAAGAAGTTTGCTTTGGCCCCGCCTCAGGGCGGCCACCTCCTTCTGCCCCCTCCTCCGCCCCTCCGCGCACACCTCTCGGTGCAGATTGCAAAGCGCCTTCCGTTGCGAGAGCTGCAGAATTTGCAAGAGCCAGTCTCGCCCACCTTGGAGGAGCGCGGTATTCCCTCGCACCCTCGTTTGCAAAGAACCAGGTGCCTAATTTGGCCACTACCTCCCTCGCCCCAGACTGCATGATCTCCGGGGACCCTTTGGAGTTGCACGTTTCTCTGCACGGAGGGCCGCAAATCCCCCTGGCTCCTAGGATTTGCTGTGTTCTGGATATTGGAAGCTTGCAAGCTCCACTCGCCCGCCCCGGGGCAGACACTCGCCCGAACCGCAGGAGTGTGTCGCTGACTGGCTTGCCAGCTTTTCGCGTCTCCATGAACCCGTGAGCCTGGGGGCAGGTGCCCGGCAATGGCGCGGCCTGCGAGCGACAGGACCCCGGCCCCCCTGCTGCTGGGCGGCCAGGCCGGGGCCCCCCCTGGCGGGGGAGCGCTGCTTGGGTTGCGGAGTCTTCTGCAGGGGACCAGCAAGCCCAAAGAGCCGTCTAGCTGTGAGTTCCAGTCCCGCGTCCCCCATTTTGGAGCCCCCTTAGGGACTCCAGTGCGCCTCTCCCAGCCTTTATCACCCAATTACTCAGGTGTTCAACCCTAGATCCCTTAGCAGCCAGGAGCCCCAAATTCCGGCTCTCAGCCGATCCATTCGAAGACTCAGGATGGAGGGCCCCTACCCCTCATGTCCCCTTGGTCTCGGGAGTCTGACCCCCGGGGTCCTGGGAGGAGGGAGGGGGTGTGTCGGGGCTCACACGGAGGTGACACGGGCTTGGGCGGGGCTTTCTGGGGTCACATGGGTCCTCGGCTGAGGAATGTGCCCGGGGACTCGAGCCCCTTCCATGGCGTGGGGGAAGGGGCTGGGGACCTTTGCAAGGGAATTTCGGAGGAATTACAGAGCTGTCATTTTTTTTTTTCTCTCCTGTCCGCCTAACCACCCTCCCTCCCTCCCTCCCCGGACATCCTTCCGTCACCTTTTCTCTGGGCCATTCTGTGCCTGTGTCCCCCTCTTTCATCTCTCCTCCCCTCTTCTGAGTTTCTGTCCTATCTCTGGGCGTCTGCCTTCCTCTTTGAGTCTCTCTTTCCTCCTCATTGTGGTTTTATATCCTTCCTCTGTTCCCCCCCTCGATCTGTCCACTATTTCCTACATCTCTGATGTCCCCCGTGTGGATCTCATGTCCCCTCTCTCCTGTTTCTCTGGTTCTGGGTCTCTTCCTCTTTTCCCTCTTCCATCCTGTCTCGTCTTTCCCTGACCCGCAGGTCTCCTGAAGGAAAAGGAGCGCAAGGCGGCTCCGCCGGTGGCCACTGTCCCCGGGCCGGGCCTGGAGTCTGCGGGCCCGGCGGATGCCCCCGCTGGGGCCGTGGTGGGCGGCGGGTCCCCACGGGGGCGCCCAGGGACCGTGCCCGGTCCAGGTCTGTTGGCGCCGCTGTTATGGGAGCGGACGCTGCCCTTTGGCGACGTGGAGTACGTGGACCTGGACGCCTTCCTGCTGGAGCACGGGCTCCCGCCCAGCCCGCTGCCTCCCGGGGGCTCGTCCCCGGCGCCCTCGCCTGCGTGCACCCCAGCTCCCTCCCCAGGACCGGGCTCCTGCGGCTCGGCCTCCCCCCGATCCTCGCCTGGGCACGCCCCCGCCCGGGCTGCCCTCGGGGCCGCGGGCGGCCACCGCGCAGGTGCGGCAGAGGGGCGGAGCGGGACCTTGGAAGGGAGGGGCGGGACCCTGGATGGGCGGGGCTTGTGCTCCAGGGGGCGGGGTATGCGTAGCGGCTGCGGGAGTGGTGGGATTGGCTGCGGGCCTCTTTCTGTGTCCCCTCGTTGAATAGAGTGGAATGGGACCAAAGGCAGTAGGGTGGGTTGGTTGATTTGGTTAGCTGATAGATATTGCCTGCGGGACCATATACTGTGCCCTGCAGTGGACCATGTTATCTAGAGGGGCCAGTATTTGGAAGATGTTGCAGTTGGTAGAGGCTCAGAGAAGAGACTCTCTCCATGAGTTGCATTGATACGTGTGCCTTGAACAGTGGGCTGCACAGCAGTGACTGTGAAGCTGGCCAGGACTGGGCTGGGTCACTGTGAGTCGGAGTCGACTCGATGACAACAGTTGAAGTTGAGATTTCTATGGGAGAAAGTACTTGGGACTTTAAACTCGGAGAAGCCTGTATAATGGAGAGAGAATTTGGGTGTTTCAGTGGAACCAAGGGTCTGGAACCACGGATACTCGGGGCTGGAAGCCCAGAATTCAGGTTGTTCTTTACTGGAGAGTGGATAAGGTACAGAAGAGCTGAGCTCTCTAATAGGGAGAAGGCGAGGGATGGGCACAGACTTCCATCCTCATCTTTATGGTGGACCTCAGCCCTAGTTCGAAGAATCCTTTATATGGGAGGTGAGGATCTTGAATCTGAGCCTTTCAGGGGAACAGAACGGAGACTCTTAGATTCCTGAAACAGAAAGGACCAGAGATTCAGAATCATGGCTATCCTAGGGATTTGGGGGCTGGAGTTCTAGGAAGAAGTTGAAGCGATTCTCTTATGTTCCCAGAGAGCAACAGGACCATGATCCGTACGAATGCGAGCTGAAAGCCCCAAGGAAAAGTTGGGCACCTGGGGGTCTCCAAGGGCAGGCTGCCAGCAAGGAATTCCAGGGTTCACCTGTCCCGGGTCAGAGCTCCCGGCAGCGCTAGGTCCCTCCCCTTTCCAGCCGCACATTCCCGTGCCACGTGAATCCTCCCCTCCCTCCTCCGTGCTCCGAGCTTCGCGCACGCGCAGATGCGCGGGAGAAGGGGGGGGCCTGGGGAAAAGAGAGGGCGCTCGTGGTGGGAGGGGTGTGGAGGGAAGAGAAGCCGGCTCTGGCACGTGACTCAGCCAGAACCTGTGTCCTCAGCTGGCCTTGTCTTGCTCGCTCTTAAAGGGACAGATACCTCCTCGTCAGCCAACTTTCTAAAACTTCAGGGGGGGTCACCTCTGCGCCTCTTTTAAACCTCAGAACTAGTAGCTTTGAAAGGAACTTGAGGTCTTTTCGATGTAGTGGATTCTTTTCCCTTTAAATATCCGAGTTGTGTTAAGGATTTAGATTGGCTGCCAGAAAGATCAAAAGCTTGCTGATCCTGACCCATCTTCACATTCTAGCCTGTCCTTCAGCTCATTGTTGCAGGTACTGTGTCCCTCCATCCTGCTGAGGTCAGGAAAGGTTTCCAACACTTGTACATAGACTAGGAGTCGGAGGTGGCTGACGACACCTGACCCAAAAGAAGCCAAATGAATGTGAATCTGAAGGCCTCACGTTTTAGACCCAGTCGCCTGGACTCCAGTTCCAAAGGTTGCCGCTTACTGGTGTTTGCAATTCACTAGTGACTCAGTGGGAGAAAGACAGGCAGTTTCTTCCTCCATGCGATTTACAACCTCTGAAAACTAGCTGGAGGGTCAGCTATCTGAGTCACTTCTGACTCTACCTTAATGATGAGATTGCAGGTCAGCTCTGCCGGACCTTAGAGTCTCCTGGTTTGGCCCAACCCCGTGATTTCTAAGCAGCACTGTGGTTTAGGAAACCGTATTTTTAAACATTTTTTTATTAAGGAGCTTGACCCCTGGCAGGTTTTAGATTCCAGATAGACTTGGTGGCTAAAAGAAAGGTAACCATGTCACCTGAGCAGGGGTTCGATGCTGGAAATTCCCTCTCAGTAAATTCTATCCCTCACAAAGGCCTGAGCTCTCGGGACACACCCAGTCCTGTGGACCCAGACACCGTGGAGGTGCTGATGACCTTTGAACCCGACCCAGCTGACCTCGCCCTGTCCAGTATTCCTGGTCATGAAACCTTTGACCCTCGGAGACATCGCTTCTCAGAGGAGGAACTGAAGCCCCAGCCCATCATGAAAAAGGCTCGGAAGATCCAGGTGCCAGAGGAGCAGAAGGTGAGCCTGGTCGCAGGTGAGACCCAGTCTTGGCTGGGGTGGACCTGTCCTGCAAAGCTTTCTGTAAGCTCCCTCACCTGCAGCCAAAGACCAGACCTCCCTGGCTACAGGAACACCAGAGGGCAGGTGTCTGGCTTGAGATTTATGATGACGTATCATTGTAGGAGGAGCCCCTGGGTGGCACGGCCGGTTAAGTACTCAGGTGCCAACCCAGAGGTTGGTGGTTTGAACCCATCCAGACGAGCTCAGGTGAAAGGACTGGTGATCGGCTTCCCAGAGGTCTCAGCCTTGAAACCCCTTCAGACACAGTTCTATCCTGCCATGTGTGTGGGCTCCAGGAGGTGGAATCAGCTCCGTGGCAGTTGGCCTTTTCACTGTAACAGGGCTCAGGCAGCCTGCAGGCTCAATTGCACAGTCTGGCAACTTGCCGTCTCCGGTGGGCCTGAAAGTCTCCATGGGCCAGGCTGCCTCTGAGCCTGTTGCTAAGGCTGGCCTTCCTTAGCAACGGGGTCTCAGCCTGTCTCCCCTTTCCAGCAATCCAAACTGGGAATGAATCTTGGAGCTGTTTCAAACCAGCTTTTAGGATAGCTGCCTCTCCCCTCACTGCAGCCTTTGCTGGTCCCAGTGAACCCTGTTCACTGGTGTTGGACTTCCCGGGGTCTTGTTAGTCACGACCACATTGCGATTTGGGATTCTTGGGGGAGTGACTCGGTCCTATAAAGAATTAACGAGTTGTCTGCTATGGCATACCACCCTGAATGCACCTGATCTCAGAAGCTAAGCAGAGTCAGGCCTGCTTAGTACTTGGATGGGAGACCACCTGGGAATACTGGGTGCTGTAGGCTTAAAAAAAATAATAATTAACAAGCCTCATTGCTAACCCTATGGTTAAAGGCTCATCTAAAAGGACCTTGAAAGAGAGCTCTTGATGTTTCAGTCTGCTTTGCAAACTGTCATCCTTGGAAAACCCCTTGGGGTACAGTTCTAATAGAACAAAAAAAAAAAAAGGATCGCCATGAATAGGGCTCGACTGAGAGGCTGCTGGTTTTGACTACAGCTCTCTGGCATTCTTTTTGCCGGTTCCTGGTCTGCCAAAGGACCAGCCCCTGGGCTTTTGCCACAAGAGTTTTGCTCTGTCTGCCTCTGGGTAAGAAGCAGTCTTTAGGTCAGTGGTCTCTCCTGCTGCAGGGTCTTGTTGCTAGGGACTGGATTTTTCCCTGGCAACGAAGAACTATGATTTAATTAAAGCGGGGAGGGGCAGCTTTATAAGCTGGGTGGGCCAACCACTAAGGAGTGATCCTCCTCAGTGACCAGCTCCCAGGGTTAGAAACCCCTATGCGTAGTGACCAGTAGAGATATCAAGGTCTTGGGATGGCTCTGTTGCTAAGGACCAGCTATTCTAGCAACCAGGACCTGCCAACTGGGGGTAGATCCCTAGCCCCAGTTCAAGTCAGGGACTGGCTGTTGGTCCATAGGACCGCTTAGGCTTTCCATTTTGTGCGTCAAGAAAGAATGAGGTTTCCTTGGCCACCAGGTCAAAAGGAGCTCAGATCTGGGAGGGCGGAGGGGTGTTATGCAATGTCAGAGCTCATCTCTAAGGGACCTAGGCCGCCTTCAGCAATCAGGATGTGAAAGGTGGTTTATGAAAGCAAACTCACTGCTGCTGAGTCAATCTGGACTCACTGCCATCCTGCAGGACATATATCTGCCCACAGGGTTTCCAAAGCTGTAAATTCTTACAGAAGTAGACTGCTTGAGCTTCCTCCACAGAGCAGCTGGGGGTCTGAACCACTGGCCTTGAGGGTAGCAGCAGAGCTCTTAATTGCCACCCCACCAGAGGTCTTTAACTGTTGATGCTGTGATTTTTCACTGGGAGAATGGCTCAGACCCTCAGGGCCCTGTTGCTAGGGAACAAGCATCCCTAGCAACCAGGCATTAACTGCAGGCCCCTTGTCAAAAGGCTTTAGCACTTGAAGCTTAATTGTTTGGGAATGGGATGGCTCAAGCCTCATCTCTTGCTAAGGCCCAGTTCTCCTCAGCTACCAGGTCCTTGATAGGGCAGACCCTTGGGTATTCTTTAGAACCCAGTGCCGGGGTACAGGTGCTAGGGATCCTTTAGGTGTCCTTCCTGGATCTTTGAAGGCCCTGTAGGCCAGGCCACTGCTCCCTTCTTGCCTTCTTTGGGGCCTGTCTGGATCGCAGTGCCTTCTCCTCAACATCCGCAGGACGAGAAGTATTGGAGCCGGCGGTACAAGAACAACGAGGCGGCCAAGCGATCCCGCGACGCCCGGCGGCTCAAGGAGAATCAGATCTCAGTGCGGGCGGCCTTCCTGGAGAAGGAGAACGCCCTTTTGCGGCAGGAGGTGGTGGCGGTGCGCCAGGAGCTGTCCCACTACCGCGCAGTGCTGTCCCGATACCAGGCCCAGCACGGAGCCCTGTGACGTTGCGGCCCCCCACCCAGTGGCGCCCACCTCCACCCTGCTCAGACTTTCGCCCTGACGCCCTCCTCCCCCCACCCCGTGGCCCACTCCCTGGGCCGGTCAGCTGGGTGCCCCAGGGACGTAACAATGCAGATAAATACATTTCTATTTTCGAAGAAAAAGCGAGCATCCCCACCTCCCTCGTGGGAGAGGGGAGGGTGCTATGTGTGTGTGCCCCGCGGAACGCCGGGGACCCCAGCCTCCCACCGCCTCCGTTAACACAATCCTGAATAAATCTTGAGAACCCCAGAGCCAGCTGTTTTCGGGGAGGAGGCCCTGTCGCGGCTGCGACCTGTGATCAGCGGGGTCACCAAAAACGCAGGTGCTGCTCCAAACTCGAACCTCTCGACGGGCTCCCGGATGGAGGAAGGCGAGGGGCTGAGAGGAAAGAAGCGAGCGCCTTTATTGCATAGACCTTTTCAATTGCTTTAAAGACTGGGGACAAGAACTGGGACGCACGAGAGAGAACACACGGGGATCGAGCGTCCACGGCTCCACCTGGCTCGGGGAGCGGGGTCAAGAACATTAGTGCAAAACGGAGCGCGGCCCAGGGGAACCTGCCCCTCTCGGGTTGATTGGCCAGTTAAGAGTAGGCACCGCAGTGGATAGAGCGAGACCCGGACCCCCAGCCTGGCCAATGAAGGCCTCCTCGCCCAGCCCGTAAATTTCAGGCTCCGTCATTGGGCGGCGCGTTGGCCAAGCCCCGCCCTCGGCCGCACGAGCGTTCTGAGTCGGAAGCAGAGGCGTGGTCTGGGCGGGGCCACGCCCCCAAGGGCGGGCCAGAGCGCAGACGCCGGGTCCACAGGCCCCGGTCAGGCACTACTTTCGGGGCACGCCCTTTAAGTTTCAGCGATCCCAGCCAGCAGCCCCCTGGAAATCCAGGCCTCCCTGCAGGCTGGCGATCCGTCGGGGCCGATCCTGTCGCCACCACCGCCACCACGTTCCCCGTCTGGTCCCGGGAGGCGGTGCAATCCTGAGAACGGGCCAGGCCCAGGGCACTTGGGCCCGGGCCTTAAGGCTTAGCAGCTAGACCCCACCCCCAGTCCAAGCCCCTCCCACTGGAATGTAGGCCCCGCCCTCGGCGGGCTCCGTGCTGAACTCTCAGCTCAAGGCCCGGTGCGGCTCGGCGGGCCCGTGAGAAGGGTGCCGAGGCCCGGATGTATCTGCGCCTGCACCGGCCCGTACTCCACCTGCTCGCCGTCCACCGTGAGCACGCCGCGTGGCGTGAGTGGCTCCAGGCGGAAGGCACGGGCCGCGGCGTAGCCCAGCTGGGGACAGCCCAGACTGAAGTGACTGCCTCGCTCCATGGCCAGAAAAAGGCGCAGTAGGGTGGCCCGTGAGATGCCACCACGCACCCAGCACAGGTGCACCAGGCCATCGTCAAAGCGAGCGTGCGGGGCTGCCACCATGTCAGCGCCCAGGTGGCTGGGCGAGATGGCCAACATAAGCACAAAGTCCTCCTCCATTGTCACCCAGCCTGGGGGCAGCGGGGTCCCCAGGGGAGGCAGCAGGTGGTCAGGTGGTCCCCAGGTGGAGGGAGCTGCTGGAGCATCAGGGTGGGGTGGTGAGGGCTCAGAGGGTGTTGGCATTTCTGGGGACGCCTTAGTGATGGGTGAGTGAATGGCTGATCTGGGGGATGGAGGGAGCAGTGGGTCTGGGGACAGTGGCACATCTCCAGCCCCGCCCCAGTCTCCAGCCAGCTCTGGACCACCACCATTGAGAGACAGAACGGGGAGGGGATCAGGTGAACCAGGGGAGGTCAAGGCGGACTGCGGCAGGGGCAGGGGCAGGTCAGAAACTGAGCGATGCAGGGGTGAGTGGGCCACAGGGGGCACTGGCTCGGGGGTGAGGGTCAGCTCTGACTTGGCCCGGGGCAGCCCCTGGGGCGTGGGGGAAGCAGGTTCCCCTGTGGCTGGGAGGTAGGAGAGGCGCCCGCGGTAGGTATGTAGTGTGGCCAGGCCCAGCACCGTGCCCAGGGTGAAGCGGGCACTGCCCAGGGCCCGGAAGCGCTCGCTGTGGATGTCCACGTCTGACACGAAGCCCCAGGCCACGGCCAGGAAGGAGAAACAGCGGGAGCCCGAGGCCAGCGTCACGGAGAGCAGGTCCAGCGGGTGACTGCCGCCCCGGCACAGCAGGAGGGAGCAGTTGAGCAGCAGGTCAAGGCCCAAGGCTGGCTCAAACCTTTGCACGAGGTAGGGGATCACACAGGGGAAGAGCCAACAGCGGCATGTGAGGCCCGAGTGCAGGCCAGGGAGGAAGCAGGGGCTCTCACCAGCCCAGGTGCCCCTTGAGTTTTGCCCATCAGCTCTGACTGGGCTTGCTGTGTGCCATCGACAGCACAGCCGGCAAGACACTGCAGGGACAGGGGTGGGTGGCTCTGATGGGCTGAGGGGAGAGGCTGAGTGTGGTGGCTCTTAATCGACCCCAAGTGTCTTGAGTTCTCTAGGCTAGGGACTTTTCTGGGGTCAAATGGTCAGGTCTTTCCTCGACAAAAGCTGCTCTGTGGATTCAATCGGATAGTGGAGGTTAGTGGCCATATGCTTAACTGTTTCATCACCAGGGCATGGGCACAATCTGCCAACCCTGTATCCTCAGCTTTGGGGTGCCCCACTTACCCCCCATGCTGGTTGACCACTGCGGCCAGCGCGTTGCCCGAGCCACAAGGGAGGACGCCCACGGGCATCTTCACAGCTTCCTCCCAGTCGGGGCGAGCAAGGAGCCCATTCAGCACCTGCAGCCGGGGAGCGGACACCAGCTTCCTAAGTCTGGCCCCACCCTCCGGGGTCCCCGAGGGTGCTGGCAGACGGAAGGGTGCTCTGGCCCCTACCTCGTAGAGCAGCCCGTCTCCGGAGACCGTGACGATGCCATCCCACTCGCTCAGGCTCAGCCCCTGCACCAGCTCTCGGGCGTGGTTCGGCCGTTCTGACGGAGGGGTGCAGGCAGGTGATGTAGAAAGCCCTCCACACATACACATCACACGACTGTTGTCTGATACCCAGGAGACTCCACTACTCCCCGGGGGACAGAAGTTGCACTTTCACCAACATCCAGGACCCTTTCCCACAGCCCCCCAGGACGTGGGATTCCAGCCCTCCTTCCGTCTTCCCTGATCCAGGAGCCCCCTACCCACCACTTTCCTCAGACTGAGAAGTCAGGGTTGTCCAACCCCTCTTCCTGTGTGTCCCCCCCACCCCCACGCCCCTCACCTGTCTGTATGAGATTGAAGGACAGCCCCGCTTCGGAGATCATGGGCAGCACGTGGTTCTTACACCACTGCCAAGCCAGGCCCCGCCCCCCAAAGGGGTTGACCAATAGGAGCAAGCGGGGCGGCCTGGGCAGCAGCTCAGCGGTAATCTCTGCAGAGAAAAGGGGGGCAGCCACGGTAAATTCTGGAAGCAGGAGTTTGTTTGCGCCTTCCAGCCTCTGCTCTGGGGGTGGTGCTTTCCCATGCAGCAGGGCCCGCACCTGGCAAAGCTAAAAGTGTGCAGCCCCGCCGCCCACCCCAGGGCCACAAACAAAGGCCCGTTTCAGGTGTCTAAGCACAACGCCCTTTGGCCAGCATGCTGGCCAGTGATTCAGGTTTCCGCCCTCCTCTGAACACCTGGACCCCAGCTGCTAAAAGGTTAGTCCTCAGGTCCAGGCCCCTTCTCGGCCCCGTCGCACAGATCTGGGGCCTAGACTTGGTCTCCAGGCAGCCAGCAGGACCCCATGGGACCAAGGAAGGCCCACGAGTTGGGATCCTTGGGGAAAATACCTTCCTGTGCCAGCCGAGGCCCCCTGAGCGCCCTCTGCCACCTGTTACTTGCCAGACTGCCCCGACCAGCCTGGTCATCTCAGACTTGTTTACGCTGCTTAGACCAAAGGAGACGGGGGCAGGGAACCGAGGCTAATGGCCAAAGACAGCAGATACCCTCCGTTCTCTGTGCCTGTGGGTTCTGCTTCTTCTGTTAGTTGATGTCGAGCCAATTCTGACTCAGGGCGACCCTGAGTGTCAGAGGAGAACTCTACCCCATAGGGTTTTTCAAAGCTGGGACCTTTGGGGAACAGACTGCCAGTCCTGTCTTCTGAGGCACCTCTGGGAGAGTTTGAACTGCCAATCATCTGGCTACCAGTTGAGTGGGTCACTGTTTGTGCCACCTGGCCCACCTCTGTCCGTGTCACTCATGCATCCAAGCCACCATGAGTGGCTTCATGCAGGGCACACAGGAAGGACCTGGCAGACAGAGGACTCACCCCCATCTGCAGGTAGCGGCAGCTCACGCAGCAGGCACGTGAGGGTGATGGCCCAGCGCTGGGCTTCAGCCCGGTTCTCCTCATAGGCTGCAGCCCCATCGACCCGGAAGGTGCGTGTGGTTCTGCGCCGTGCCCCCCGCCGGCCCCTCGGATAGGCGTAGATGCAGAAGTAGGCAGAGGAGTCCAAGGGGCTGCGGCTGCGCAGGGTGCAGCAGCCCGAGACCTCGGTCAAAGGGATCAGGCCACCCCGGGGCCGGGCTTCAGGCTTAGGACGCAGCCTCTGGATATGCAGGGCCTGTGCCGTGAGGGTCAGGGCAAAGCGTGGGCCCCGGGCTGGGTAGGAGCCAAACTCGCCATGCATCAGTGGGGTGCTGGCAGCCTGATGTGGGGCTGGCGGGGCCATGACTTTGGCCTTGTCCAGGGCACTTCTGGGCCCAGGGCCCTGACTCCAGGTCAGCTCCTGGTCCAGGCTCTGCAGGAGGGAAAGCGGGCAGAAGTCAGAGTCTAGAATCCCCAGGATAGGGGGCAGGATAGACACACAAAGCTTGTGGACAGGAGACAGCGGGAGCACCTGCAGGTGATGGGGAGACAAACAGGCCCAGACAGGTGTGAGGAGACCCCGAGGACACAGCACCAGCATCCCGGACAGCCCAGAGACCTGGGCACCACCAGCATTCATTCGCATATCCCCCAGAGAACTAACCACACAGGACCCCCCTGCACGCCAGGCTCAGCAAACACTGACATTCTTGTTCTGAGTTTATATTCTAATCAGTTGGCAGGGAGATAAAAGAAAGAGGTAAAATCTCCAGTGTTGTGGAGGATGAGGAAAAGTTTTGGGGAGAAAATATGGCAGGGAAGGGGGCCCCAAAATTGGTGGAAACACAAGCAGAGAGGGACCTGTAAAGACAAACACACCCCTTCCTTCTCCTTCAGAGCGAGGGGAGACTGAAGACACCAAGACAGTGAGGAATAATTTCTGAGAGGCAGAACAAACGCTGGGGAGAAGGCATACAACCACCATGATCCAGACTGCTAACAGAAACTCAAGGAGGAAGTAAGGGTTTAGGGGCTTTTAGGAAGCGGAGGGTCAGGAAGCCATGGGGCAGAGAAGGAAGGGATACGCAGGATTAAGGAGAGGCAAGAGGCAGGTGGCACCGACTGATGGAAACTGAGAAAGAGCTCCAATCGTGGGGGCATAAGGGGCCAGAGAGGAGGCAGGACCACATGCAGGCACTTTTGAGAGGCAGGGGCTCTGAGCCCGGCCCTGGACACTGACCTGCGCATCTGGTTGCTTGCTCTCCAGGGAAGGGGTGGGAGTCGGGACCGAGGTACCCGCCCTGGAAACCCTCCCGTGCCCTCTGCCCGCACTGCACCTCCTACCAGTTCACCTTTGTTCCCTGCTGCCCCACCCAGCCACCTGCTGGGTCAGCTGCACCTTCCTAGAACTCAGGGTTCCCCTGAAGGGCACACCTCCCCCCCCATCTGAGTCAAATTCTCACAGGCAGCTCCCTTGCGCCCGGGGAGTGCTGCCTCTGCCCCCCAAACTGGCGATCCCCTGCTGAGAGTGTCTTCTAGCAGAGATTCCAGATGCAGCCTCCGGTCTGGATCTCTGTCCCCGGGGTCCCCCCAGCCTCTGGCCTGGCTTCCATTCTTGGCTCACCCACATCTGCCCAGCTTCGGGCCTGGGTCTCCATCCGCAGAATTCGAACCCACGAGCCTGGATATGCGTCCACGAGTCTCCCAGAACCAGCCCTCCATCCCCACTCGGGTTCTGGCCCAGGAGCTCTCCGTCGCCCATCCCCCACCCCCGGTACCCCAGTCCCGGGCCATCTCTCTGTTCCTCAGGATCCCTCAGTCCCTCCCCGACTCAGTGCCCTGACCCCGCACCCTCTTCACATGCCGGGTCCTCCTCCAGATGGCCCCTCAAGTCGGCACCAACCGCCCCCATCGGACCTAGGGGTGGGGGGAGGGTGTGCTCGGCCCGGCCAATCGTCGAGTGGCCGGTTTCTGTTGAACCAATGAGGGAGTGTGGGGCGGGGCCAATGGGTCTCTCGGGCTAGGCACAGGGGCCGGCCTTCCGCGGGAACAGGGCGGGGCATTGCATCTCGCGAGATGGGGCACCATATTTGGTGAGGGCAAGTGCGCAGCTAAAAGGTGTCGCAGCTACACGGCCATCCCCGTTGCCGCCATCTTTGTGGAGGGCACAGGACCCTCTCCAATCCATTGAGTTTTCCGAGAAGTGACAGGGAGGTGGGCGTGTAGCGACAGAGGCACAGAGCATGACAGCACAGAGAGAACAAGGTAATACAAGCCCAGAGTTAACAAATGGGGTCAAAAAACAGCCTCAGCGAGGCAGAAACTCAGAGAAGCAGCAAGAAACAAAAAAAAAAAAAGAAAGTCAAAGATTCCTTGGAAAGAAAGACTCAAAAGCCAAGAGACAAAGCCACCCAGTGGGAATGCGTAATCCAGGGGCACAGAACCACTGCCTTCAGTCGATCCCTACTCACAGCAACTGCTACGTTTCCAAGGCTGTAAACCGTTACCTAGAGGAGCCTGTCTACCTTTCTGGTGGATTCGAACTTGCACCCTTTGAGTTAGCAACCTAACATGCCAAGCACTATGCAACTATTATGCACTGTTGTGTTGGAACTGACCTAAGTACTCGACCCTAAAGCAGGTTTTCACAGGCAGTAAGATGCAAGGAAGGAGACTGCCTACTTTCTCCAGTGTAGCAGCAGGGAGATTCGAACAGCATGCCTTTGGGCTTGGCAGTGGAGCTCCTTTACCACTAGGCCCACAGAGATTCCTCTAAGGGTATAGAAGGCAACGAAAATGGAGAAAACTTCTGGAATAAACACCAGGGTGGAGTGGCTCACTAATTCCCAAATGATATCTCTTGGGCACAAGCCAAAGTAGAGGCAGGAGATAAGCGTCTACACACAGGATGACCCAGTGGGTTGCTTGTCCAAAGAAACACAGAAGAGAAAAGGGGAGGGACACTCCGTAGGGGTTGAGGGGAATGCTGGGAGGCCAGAGGTTTTGAGAGGGCCTGAGACTGAGAGAGACAGAAAGCAGAGATACTGACAGAGAGAGGCAAGGGTGTGGTGAGATTCAAAGGCAGGAAGGCAAAGCTGAGCAAGACTAAAATTAGAAGCACACGTGCGCACGTGTGTGTGCGCGCACACACACACACACACAGAGGCAGGGACGGAGTTTGCTACAAAGAGACAAAATGGAAAAACTCACTTCTTGCCAAAATAAAAAAATTGTACTTTGCATCCAACTCAGAGTACATGGCAATCCCACAGGTGACAATGTGAACTGTGGTCCTTAATGTTTCCAAGGGCTGTGACCTTTCTGAAGTCCCCCAAGGGACCTCTGAGCTGCCAACATTTCTGTTAGTGGTCTCTACCACCCAGGGACTCCTCCAGATCAGCAATGTGTCAAGGGATGTCCCAAACAGAGTGAGAAGGAGAGCAAGCCAGTGAGATGAATGGTCAGATAGGAAAGGCAGAGATAATGCCCCGAGAAGCTAAGGCTCCTCCAACAGGGAAGCCGGGTCACAGAGCTAAGGGAACAGGAAAAGGAAGCAGAGCTGAAATCTTAGAAACCAAAGCCCAGCCCTGCCGGCTTGAGTCCATTCCAACTCATAATCACCTTATATGACACAGGAGAACTGTCCCAACGAGTTCTCAAGACTAAATCTTTACAGAAACAGACTACCTCATTCCTCTCTTATACAATGTCTGCTGAGTTCAAATGCACACCTTTCAGGGAACAACCCAATGCTTAATCCAGCATGCCACTAGAGCTCCAAAGAAGGGCCTGGAGCCTCCAAAAAAGAAAGCAGAAATGAGAATCTCACAGGAGACTCCTATGACTTCAGGGACACTTCCGGCTTCTCTGGGCGTTCAGCTGCCCTATCTATGAAATGGACAGAAAGCAAGTCCCACTTCCTTGACGAGCAGAGCTGAAATGGAAGGGCCTTGGGTGATGGAAGCTCTTGGTCTTCAGATGGACCCTTACCTGATCCAGCTGTTCCTCTGCTTCCAGGTGGCCATTCATCTGCCTGACCTCTGTCCTGGCACTACATTAGCACAACCCAGGACCTGGGTTTGCGGCCAATTTGGGTAGAGGCACAGAAGGGTAGCAAGGAGTCAGGCCCCACGATCCAGACCTGGCACTTGGCTCTGTGGAAGAGAGGTACAGTGAATGGTACATTGAGAGCAGGTGCCAAAAGGTACTGACAGGTGTACTAGAGTCTCCTGGGTAGAGCCTCCCCTAGAAAGGAGGAACAATGAACAAGTCAGCTTTATTACTGCCCCAGCCAGTTGATCTGGTCACACATCATAAGCATTCACTTCTATCAAGCAATTATTACAAGCACGGCTTTGTCTTAAATACTTTTCTTAAATTACAATCCTGGAAACCACTCAATGTGTCTAGGCTCATTACCATCTCCACCTTGCAGTTCAGGAAAGCGGTGTGCCCAAGGCCACACAGTTAAGTTATGAAGCAGCCAGCCAGGATCTGAGTTAAAGAGGGCAAGGCACTATGTCACAGCTGTCTCTTCTTTGCTGGGTGTCTGTCCATCTTCCATTAAACTTTATCACAATCAACGTGCATGTCCACCTCCCCCACCCGAAGAATTGTCTTTCCCCGTCTCTAGGCAGCTCCCATCTCCTCATCCACAACCCCCTACCCCTGGCAGGAACCTCAACGCCACTCTCAATTCAAACTGAAGCCCCAATGCCCTGGAGTTCATTTCTGTTTCACAACGCCACCCCCCCCTCCCCCAAGTTTCCAAGGCTGTCGTTTTTAAGGAAGCAGTCTACCCCATCTTTCTCCCGTGGAGCAGCCGATGGGTTCAAACCGCTGACCTTGCGGATGGCAGACGAGAGCTTTAACCACTGCGCCATCGAGACTCCTCCAGTACACCGTGCATCTCCCTCGCACCAACCTCCCCTGGACCAGTTGAACCTCTTTGGCTGAGAATAGCAACCTTCAGGTGACGAAGGCTGGAGGTGGTAAAGGAAGGGCCATCTAAGGGGCAGGGACGGGTGGTTGGGACCGAAATGATGGAAATGAGAGGAGGCTGCAGCAAGAAGATCTAGGGTTAGATCTCAAGTAGGACTTCCTGACCTGCAGCCGCGCTCAGGGTGTTGAGCGAGATTAAGGCAGAGATGAGATAAATCAGGTAACGCCCGAAGCTTTGGGTCAGGGGTTTGATTCTGCAGAGGCCGGAACTAACCCTTGTAAGCCCGCCTCCTGATCGCCAGTACTCGGTCAGCCAAGTCCTCCGGGAACCAGTGAGTGGCCACCGGGCCAGAGCGTCACCGCGCGACGCGCCCTCCTACCTCTGGGTGGCATCTCTCGCGCTCCTTGATCTTTGATGCCAGAAGAGTATAGAGAGCGGGGTCTAGTGAGGGCCAGAGAGGCCCCCGACGTGCTGACCCGTCCTTCCGCGACGTCGCTCCGTCTCTTTGTTCCTGTATCCTGTTTTAACTCATAGCGCAGTCGATAGCCCCTGATTGCATGCGTGTTTCCGAGGATGGAAATCGCACCGGAGGAGATTGTCCATCTCTCTCTTGGCTGGTGGATTCGAACCGCGGCCTTTGGGTTTCGTATCGCAAATAACTCCCTAACGGACACTGCCTCCAGAGCGCCTCTGTTAGGTTCTGGACTCTCCGGTTAAACCGGTCCTCCAAGCCGACCATAGAGTGCTCTGGCTGTGGTAGAGCGCCGCGTCGCGCTCGTGTGACGTCACACAAGCGCCACTAACAGGAAAGCATTCCCCGCCCACGCCGGCTCAGTTCCTTCTTTCCGGACCTGGCTGAGCAAGAGGCGCCATCATGGTAAGCTCGTCTTAACAGGCTTTCGGGACTCTGCCATCCACCGCCATCCTCCGCGATCTCGGATTGGAAGCTTGCGGGAAAGGGTCAGGGGTGTCGGAGACGTCCGAGGCACACGGTTCCCTAGGCGGGGAGGCTACTTTGTGGGGGCCAGGGAACCCGTAATCATTCAACCTTCAGCCTCTGGTCCTTGCCGCATCCTTTTCCTTAACGACCCCATGCATAGATGAGTAAATTAAGATACATAGAGTAATATGAACAGAGTCACGTGGCCACGGAGTTTCAGAGTCTGGATGCCAGCCTAATACGGCATTATTGTTATTAATTGTCTTTGCTGCTACTCCCACCCCGACCTGTCATACTTGATCCTGCATGCAACGTTGCGTTTTCCGGGAATACGAGGGTCCAGTGCCCGGGCTTTGGGGACCAAGCTGACTTCCAGTGGATTCCAGCTCCCCTGGCTAGTTTGATCTTGCTTTCCGGGCCTCAGTTTCTCTGACCAGTTCTTTGGCAAGCCAGTCGTTCTGTCTCAAGGAGTTTGTGAGTTTTGCATTAAGCAGCTCCTGTGGTTCTGCGGTAGAGCAAGTTCTGGCATCCCTTCGTGGTCCTTTTTAGAGTTGTTAGCATGATTTTAAAAATTTTGTGATGGGCCATCCAGTCGGAACCGACTCATAACTTTGCTGCTGGTTTTCAGAAGCCGTCCAACGCGGGAGGTTTCACATCTTCCACAGGGCAGCTGGTGGATTTGAACTGCATGTCTTTTTTGAATTAGCAGCACAGCTTCTTACCCCAATAAAGCTGCCTTTTAAATAAGCTCCCTTTTAAATAGAACCTTACTGACTCTGGAAAGCTGACAGCTTGCAATGGAAAATAGGATTCCACTTAATTAGCTTTATTAGCCAGGTAGAGCATGTAAAAAAAACTCACTTCTTACAGATGTTAGATACAATTATTATGTACAAATTTTTTCAAGTTGCATTTTTTTAATTTTTTTTTTTTAACTGAGTCAGAACCTCTATGTTGAGTGTTCAAAGTTTGGTAATAGCATGTATACCCGTGTTTATTGTGGCTTTGTTCACGGTGACAAAGGGTTGGAAACAAAGTGCCCATCAGTAAACGAATGGTTAGATAAACTGGTATATCACACAATGGAATACTATGCTGCATTGAAAAACAAGGAACTCATGAAATATTATGCAAAATACGTGACCCTGGAGGACATTATGCTGAGTGAAATATCTCCGTCACAAAAATAAAAATACTGCACGGTGCGCTGTTGTAAAACAGGACTGACACTGGAGTTGGGAACCTTAGAAAAGAGGGAGTAAATAATGTAGACTGCATTGCAACATGAGGGAGAGAACTGTTTAAAAGGGATGTGTGATTAGGTATTATTGTCATGACAGGAGTCCAGAATGAAGGCTGCATAGAGGAGTGGACTTGGAGGGGGGGGAGGGACTGTATAACAATCAAAGAAATTTTTTTACTTTTCAAAGAGAAGAGGCAACTGGGAAGGAGGGGTGGGCAGGGAGGGAAATGCAACAGTGGAAATCCAAAGTCTCTGTAAACTTTCATTATGGTTAATAATTTTTTTTAAAAAAAAGGTATGGTAAAAGCTTTGGGTATAGATTAGATCCTTATTGAGTAGTCTCAGTAGTGAGGGTGGGTTATGTCCACATAACCTGTGCCCCCACTTGGTCTCTGGGGTGAATGAGCTGTCAGATCCAGAGCCGGATTCATGGTCTCCCCTTGACCCCCACAGGGAGTCGACATTCGCCACAACAAGGACAGAAAGGTCCGCCGCAAAGAGCCCAAGAGCCAGGACATCTACCTCCGGCTGTTGGTCAAGGTGAGACTGAGCCAGCCAGCACTGGGACCTCCACCCAGCCCTTGCCTTCTGGCGGGTATCATGGGCAGCTTTCACGGGCTGCAGGGCCCCCTTAGACCCCTAGTCCTGTCCCTTTCCCCAGAACTTCCTACTGCAGCCTCAGAGCTGTTGTGTTCTGCTGAGAGGTGGGGAAGGGGTTTCTGGGTCCCTGGCCTTCTCTGCCCTTTCAGGTCTGCTGGTGGTTGAGAAAGTCCAATGACTGCAGCAGGCTGTGGGAACCCTTCTAGCCTGGGCCTGGGCCATGGAAGGGTCATAACTAGAAAGCCTGGTGGGAAGGATGGACTGGCCCAGGTTCTCACACCTCTCTCGGACTCCAGCTCTACAGGTTCCTGGCCAGAAGGACCAACTCCACCTTCAACCAGGTTGTGCTGAAGAGACTGTTTATGAGCCGCACCAACCGGCCACCGCTGTCCCTCTCTCGGATGGTGAGTGCTGGTTGCCAGGAGGTCCTGGGCGCTAGCTTCTGAGAGGCGGCACTGAGGGCAGGGCAGGCCTTTGGGGACAGTGGCTGTGGGCTATAGGTTTGGCCTCAGTTTCCCCTGTTGGGAGGGCAGTGGTTTCCTCACCAGATGCCCCTGTGGCTGGCATTTCTCAGAAGCGCACACTCGAGTCGAGGTCAGAGCTCTCCAACGCTGGCCTGTGCGCTCATGTTCTCAATGGTGTGATCTCCCGCGAGAACTCCGAGTCCCGGCCTGTTCCAGGAGACGCTGGAGTCAGAGGGCGAGCATGTCCTCCCTGGTGCGCAGGCAGCCCTCCGCACGGCTGTTGGATTTAATCACTACAAGGGACAACTGTTCATCCTTGTTTTTTGTTTTTGTTTCCTTCACCTTCCCCAAGATCCGAAAGATGAAGCTTCCTGGCCGAGAAAACAAGACGGCTGTGGTGGTTGGGACCATAACAGATGACGTACGAATTCAGGAGGTTCCCAAGCTGAAGGTGAGCTGATGGCGACGGGGCAGCGGCCGAGCCCTGTGCACGGGTCAGGAGGCTGTGACTGGGGCAGAGCTGGGTGGCGCGCGCTTGGTCTCTGTCATCTGCGGGGAGAGGCAGCAGGCTACGTCGAGGAGTGGGCATTGGCACAGCACTTGGCTCTGAACCAGGGGACCTGAACTCGAGTCTGTCTGATACTTCTAGACAGAGGTCTCTCTGCCTCATGTCCATACACGTAATAATGATGAAGACAGCAACTCTTGGGAGTTGTGGGGGTCTCCTAGTACCAACATAAAGTGATGGGAATAACCACTGTCCGCTCAGGAGAGGCTTGGTTACCTAGCTAGCTAGTGAGGTGGGTAGACATTGGCACAGCCCCTCGGACCTCACGGCGGCCCCTGACCTCCCCTGGCCCCTCAGGTGTGTGCTCTGCGCGTGAGCAGCCGGGCCCGAAGCCGCATCCTCAAGGCTGGAGGCAAGATCCTCACCTTCGACCAGCTGGCCCTGGACTCGCCCAAGGGCTGTGGCACCGTGCTGCTGTCCGGGCCACGCAAGGGCCGCGAGGTGTACAGGCACTTCGGCAAGGCCCCGGGCACCCCACACAGCCACACCAAGTGAGTACTGCCGCCCCTTTCACTCCTGCCCACCGGGACTCCCCAGGGAACTTGAGATGGCCCCTGGGTGCTGGGCTGCCTGGAAGTGGGGGCTCCTCATCCCCACCCTTTAGGTCTCAGTGCCACCCTGACCCTCTGTGGGCCCCTCTGCCACCTCTGACCGTACCACTCACCCGAACCCTTTTCCTCCTGCAGACCCTACGTCCGCTCCAAGGGCCGGAAGTTCGAGCGTGCCCGAGGCCGAAGAGCGAGCCGCGGCTACAAGAACTAACCCCAGACCCTGCCCTGTCATTAAAATCCTATTGGCTGTTTCTGACCTTTTGTGTGTTTTTGGGGTGCAAAGGGGAGGTGGGACCTGTGGATAGCAGTGCCTTGGGTTTCTGGGGTTGAAGATTAGCCCCTCCCTTTACACTCCTAGGCACCAGGCGGCCACTGCAGGCCTGCTGGTGTCCCTTTCCCATTGCCGAAGCCCCACCCAGTGGTACCCAGGTGTCACGTGCATCCATACCTGGCCTTCACCTGGGCAGGAGGGGAGGGACCGGGAAGTGGGGGCGGGCCTGCGGCAGGGAGGGGTTCGTGGGAACCAGTGAGGCCGTCCCACACCTACCAGGAAGTGCAGCCTTTGGCTTCTAGTGGGCTTAGAGTTGGGGTTGGGTCCTTTTCTATAGCCCGAGGCTCAGTCCTCCCTGCACCCCCCCTTGTTTGCACTAGGGGCTGGGTTCCCCATGGGCTGAAAGTAGGTGAATGAGGCAGCCGGAAGAGAAGAAATCCAGGCCGATCAGTGAAGGAGGCCAATGGATAGAGAACCGGAGGCCCAGAGGGAGCGGTGAGCACAGGCTGCTGTATGTGGCAGGAGGGAGGGTACCAGCCTCAGTCAACCGCTTGGTCCGCCAGGATTGGAAGGAGGCTTCCGGGGTTCAACAGATGGGAGATTTCCAACCAGGGTGGAAGCCAGGCAGCTCAGAACTGGTGACAGGTCCCCCTCCAACCTGACAAGCCCACTGAGGTCATGCCCTGGTTCTGTGAGGCTGAGGACGTCTTTCCAGTTCTTCACCCTCTCGGGTTAGCCTGAGGGTGTGTAAGTGTCTCCTGGGGGTGTGGGGTCCTCAGAAGACCGAGATCCCAGTGTGGGGAAGACACGGCTGCAGGGCTGAGAGGTCGTGGTGGCCATTGACGAAAGCTGGTCAGGTGCTCAGCCTGACACGGGCCCCAGGACTGGGAGGGAGGCACAGTCACCAGCAGGCCGGTGAAGAGGGCAGGTGACTGCAGATAGACAGTGAGTCACGCCTTTGGGGCTCTGGTGGCCTGAGGAGGAGGAGGGTGTCCTTGGAAGGACAGAGTACAGCTGGAGACTCATGTCAGTCTGACCACCAAGGAAGGCCAATCGTGGGGCCCAGCTAGAAGCTGGGGGTCAGTGGACGCTTGGACAGTGGGTGTTGAGCAGGGAGCCCTTTGAGCATCAGCAGAGCTCCGGCGGTCACCTTGGGTCGGCCAGCCCGAGATCCCCCATGATCAGGATCCCAGAGACAGCCAAGGCCTTGGGGACCCCACCTCACCCAAGTGGACCACGATGGCGGCCTCTCAGCTGGCCGCACTGGAAGGTACGAACCCAGGAGCTGAGGGTCTGCCCGTGACTGCGACCAGCCCTGGCCTCCTGTACTCGGAGGGCCAGCGGCTGGCACTGGAGGCCCTGCTGAGTGAGGGCACCGAGGCGTTCGAGGCCTGCGTCCACCGCGAGGGCCTGCGGCCCTTTCTGAGTCAGGACGAGGTACGGGGCCTGGTAGCCACGGCCGAGGACTGGACCGCAGCCGCACAGGAACCCGGTGAGGTGGCCAGGGGAGCCGTCTTTGCCACCACTAACGGGGCCACGGGGGACAGCCTGACCTACTGGCCTGGCCAGTCAGAGGAGCCCACGCCCGTTCTGCAACTGGGTTGGCCCGAGGACGACTCCTGGAAGGGCATCACGCGGGCCCAGCTGTACACGCAGCCCCCCGGGGAGGGCCAGCCCACCCTCAAGGAGCTGGTGCGTCAGGAGATCAAGGCGGCCTCCAAGGTGGGTTCCTTGTGGCCTGAGGGCTGCTCCCTACAACCAGCTCCCTGCCAGGAGCTTGTGTCTCCTAGAACCAACCTGAGCACCCACATTTTTACCCACGAGACCCCCAGACCTCCATTGATTTTGTGTCAATTCCACTTCAGCACAGGACGACTGCCCCAAAGGGTTAATTTCTGAGGGAGTTGTGTTTATGGCAGGAGCTCTGGTGGCCTAATGGGTGAGGTGTTACACAGCCAATCCAAAGGCACAGGGTTCGAATCCACCAGCTTCTTTGAGGGAGAGAAATGGGCCATCTCTTCCGATGTCCTTTACAGCTTTTGAAAACCAGGGAGGGTCAGCTATGCGTCTGTTAGGCAACGTAACGTGGGGCCATAGGGAGCTCTGGGGACCTGACCATAGAATTGCACTGCTTGGGGAGCTCTGGTGGCCTAGTGGCAAGAAGCTGCTCTGCAATCCCAGAGGTATACAGTTCAAATCCACCAGATGCTCTGCTGGAGAAGGAGGGGCAATCTCCTATACCAGTCAGAACAGATTTGACGGTACACACACAAAATTGTTATGTGCCGTCGAGTCGCTTGCGACTCATAGCAACCCTATGTACAACAGCCCTAAACTCTGCTCTGTCCTGTGCCAATCGCACTGTCTCCGACACTCCCAGCCCGATTATCCCAATCATTGAATCCATCCACCTTATAGAGGATCTTCCTCTCCTGCCCCGTCCCTCCACCCTCCCAAGCATGATGTCTCTCTCCAAGGACCAGTCTCTCCTTACAACAAGGCAAGGATTCTGAGGCTCCATCTAACATACTTTGAACATGTTGTAAGGAGAGACCGGTCACACAAAATAGTAAAATAAAAATTTTTGAAATAATTGCACTGCTCACCCAAAGGTGTTACCTCTCTGGTGATTAGAATCTCCCAGCTCCTCTGAAAGATGGACATCGCCAAAAACCTGCTTGATGGGGGGGTCAGCTAGGATTTGTTCCAGCACGATGACAATGAGTCATGAAATGCTGGTGATTAAGCTGCCTGGCTGATAACTGAATAGTGAATAGAGCCTTTTCCATGGGGGACAGGGGAGGCACTCAGCTTGCCCAAAGGGCACAGCCACAGAGACACAGCGGGCAGTTCGCTGTCCTGCAGGGTCACCGTGGTCAGCTGAGCACACTGTAACACCCACCCAGGGTTCCACCGACCACGCCTGCAGCATCCAGGCCGAGGCACCCCTAGACTTCAGGACTCCCCTTTGGTGACTGTGTTCCCACCTCAGCACTCAAGTGTCCCAAAGCGACCTATAGGGGCGTCAGACCTAGGAGCGGGCTGCCACGTACTTGCCCACGTCCCATGTTTATGCCCATGATGTCACAGTTCCACTCTAGACTCATGCCAGGTGGTGACAGTTTTCTAAAAGGCAAGGGTTGGGGAGCTTGTAGAACCTTGTTCTAAGCCAGCACACAGTTCACTGAAAGGTGGGGGATTCGAGGATACCCCCCGAGGTGCCTCAGAAGAAAGGCCTGGAAATCTGTTTTTGAGAAATCACCCACCGTCACAAGACAGAGTGTGTCTGAATTGTAGTAGAAGGGAAACCAATTTGCTCTGTGAACGTTCCCCCGAAGCCCCAAAGGCAAGAACATTTGCCGTTGCAAACACTACGTGCCCCTGTTCCCCAGATCTGTTACAAATGGGTGACTGGCCTTGGGGAGAGCCCTGCCTTCATTCACACACAGGCAATAAATAAACACCAGCACTTCCTCTTAGGGACAACCTGTGGTCCCCCTTAAGTAGCTCTCGTGGTATAATGTGCAGAGCTGTTCCCCTTCTAACCACAAGATCGATGGTTCAAATCCACCAGCTGCCTCGGTATAAAGATTTAACGCCTTGGAAACCCGATGGAGGATTACTATGACTATTAATAAGGTGGCAGTGGGTTTGCGATCCCAGAGGTCAATGGTTCAAATCCACCATCTGCCTTGTTATAAAGATTTAGCAGCTTGGAAATCTGATGGAAGATTACCGTGACAATTAAAAAGATGGCAGTGAGTTTGGGGTCCCCCTAGGATATCCCACTGGGGCCATGCTCTTTAACACACAGCCCCCCAGCACATCTCACTCCCCCAGAACCCTGTAGCCAGCCCCCTGCCATCTGATTGCACCCCTGGACAGGCCCCCGGTCACTCCCTCTTTTGCCCCCAGCTCGTGGCTGTGGTCATGGATGTATTCACTGACCCGGACCTGCTCTTGGACCTGGCGGATGCGGCCACACGCCGCTGGGTGCCCGTCTACCTTCTGCTGGACGGCATGCAGCTGCCCGCCTTCCTGGACCTGGCCCGGCAGCTGGGGATGAACCCCTGGAACACTGAGGTAGAGACTGGCCACCGTCCCTTCCGGTGGGGCTGGGGCCAGTGGGCAGCAGACTCTTCCGTGTATCCTAGCACTGGGGCAAGTGGGGTGGACCCTTACAGGGGATTCCTGGCCACCAGATTGGGGTGATCCCAGGAGACCCAGGCAGCTTGACACCCAGGGTGGGTGCTGAACAAGCTGGGAGAGACCTTTTTGTGGTCTCTTGGGTGCTCTGGGAACTAAGCGAGATGCGTGGAGTGGACCTGACATGGATGTCCCCTCCCTGACCCCCTAGAACCTGGACATCCGGATCGTGCGTGGATGCAGCTTCCAGAGCCGCTGGAGGAAGCAAGTGAGCGGCCACTTGCGAGAGAAGTTTGTGTTGCTGGACGGTAACAGGGTCATCTCAGGGTCCTACAGGTAAGATGCCCCCAATGCCTCCCGGGGACATCACTACCCTCAGGCAGCATCCTGAACCCAGGCTCCCTTCAGCATGCCCAGACTGGCCAGATCATCCCCTTTCCGGCCTCTGTTTGCTCATCTGTTCAATGGGGTCGATGTCTGGCCCTGCTGTGTTGCCTTGTTTCTTGGTCTTGGCCAAGCCTTTACCTCCAGATAAGTTTGTTTCCAAGGGGTTTCAAAGCCAGGTGCACGGAATTCGAGTCCTGACTGTCTTTAGTAAGTGACCCCACCTCTCTGAGGGTCTGTTGATAACCGGACCCACAGACAATCTCATGCATGTCCTTGCTTTTTCTTTGGGGTCCAGCTGGCCTGTCCTGATCCAAGCTCTGCCACCTTTGTCTAGCTGAGACTGCCACTAGTCTACTCTGACCCTCAATATCCTCCTCTGAAAAATGTTGAGTGGTCAACAGGCAGGGGTGACGGTGGTCTCTGGAGTCAGATGATCAGGATCAAATCCCAGTTCTGCCAGTTACAGCAAGCTGTGTGACTTTGAGCAAGTGACTTGGCCTCTCTGTGCCTCAGTTACCCCTCCAGAGGAAAAAGGATGGTGGAATTAATGTCTCTCAAGCCAGGTTTCTCAACAGTGATGCTATGAAAATTCTGAGCCTTGTAAACACTTGCTGCAGAGGGTCAGGGACTGCAGTCTTCAGTATGGCTTGAGTCTCAATGTCAAGAAAACAAATATTCTCACCACTGGGCTTATTGGCAGCATCAGGATGGGTGGTGAAGAAACTGAGATTGTTCGCAGTTTTGGTTTGCTTGGCTCCACAGTCAACACTCTTGGCACCAGCAAATTAAAAGACGTATTGTGATGGGGAAAGTCTGTGGTTAGAGAACTCTGTAAAGTGCTGAAGTGTGACGATGTCAGTCTGGAGACTAAGGTGCGCCTGATACAGGTCATGGTCTTTCCAATCACTTGTTATGCATCAGAGAGCTGGACAATGACTAGTAAAAGGAGAATTGATGGTAAAAGGAGAATTGATGCCTTTGAGCTGTAGTGTTGGACAAGAGTATTGAATATACCATGGACTGCTAAGAAAATGAACACGTTTGTCTGGAAGAGGGTGAAGCCATGCTGCTTCTTGGAGGCAAAGATTCTGAGGCTCCGTCTGACATACTTTGGACATGTGGCAAGGAGGGACCAGTCCTTGGAGAGGGACGTCATGCTTGGGAGGGTGGAGGGACAGCGCAGAAGGCGAAGACCCTCTATAAGGTGGATTGATTCAGTGACTGAAGTTATCAGGGTGAGTGTATCGGAGACAGTGCGATTGGCACAGGATAGAGCAGGTTTCAGGGCTGTTGTACATAGGGTCGCTATGAGTCGCAGGCAACTCGACAGCACATAACAACAACAACAACAACATGGTGGCAGCTGTCTGTGTATTGTAATGTGTTGGGAAGCATTCCTGGACTTGACCCTCTACCATGACCAGCAGCCATCAACCCCGCTCCAAAGTCCTTAAGATCAAAAATATCTCCAGACAGTGTCAGGTGCTCCCTGGGGTACAGTTGCACCTCATTAAGCCCTGTGTGGAGTGGAGTTGGAACAGACTCCTTGCTGACCCTCCAGTAGACTTTCAGAGGCTGCAAATTGCACAGGAAGGGGAGCTTTGGTGGCCTAGTAGCAAGAAGCTGCACTGCGATCCCGGAGGCATGCGGTTCGAATCCACCAGATGCTCTGCTGGAGAAGGAGGGGCAATCTCCTCCTGTACCAAAATAAGAAAGGAAAGGAGAGGGGAGAGAGGAGAGAGGAGAGAGGAGAGAGGAGAGAGGAGAGAGGAGAGAGGAAAGAGGGGAGGGGAGGGGAGGGGAGGGAAGGGAAGGGAAGGGAAGGGAAGGGAAGGGAAGGGAAGGAAAATAATAAAAGAAAATGGAAAAATAAAATAACACAGGAAGAAAGGGCCTACGTTTCTCTCATGGAGCAACTGGTGGGTTCAAACCACTTACCTTTGGGTTGGCAGCTCAGCTCGGCTCCAGAGGATTTCCTAGGCTGTGCTGGGAGAAGTGGAGGGTCTCCCGAAGAGATGGGCTGACATGGTGAGCTGCAGCAGTGGGCCGGAGCGTGACAGGCCGTGAGGATGGCGCGAGACAGGGCTACGTTCTGACCTGCGAGTCGGGACTGGTATGAGTCCATCCACAGCACCTGAAGACCACCACCACCACCGCTTTACTCAGACCGACCCCGGGCCTTTCTCCTGGAACGTGACTGAGGCAGCTCCCGCCGCCACCTCGGTTAACAGACGAGCACATACCGTTCACACCACCCAGGAACCTTGTTCTAAATCAGCTTGATCAGCATCTGAGGGGGGGAGGGCACGTGGGAGGCCACATAGCCTGTCACCCTCCTCCCCAGAGTTTCTTCTTCTGCTCTCACATCAATTCTGATGCTCAGCGCCCCCCCACACACACACACCCCCCTCGCCCCCGGGTATGCAGCAGGACTTCTCCGTAGGGCTTTTCCAGGCGAAGACTTCACAGAAGCTGATTGCCAGGCCTTTCCTCCGAGGCGCCGTTGGGTGGATTCAAACCTGCAGCCTGTTAGCACTGGAACCTTCCAGCCAGTGGTAGACAGAGCAAGTGCTTAACCATTTGGGCCACCTAGGGGCTCCCCAAAAGCAGAACCAAACCCAGCCCACCCATTCCATGGGAAACAGATACGTCAGTCCACTTTGTAAAGATGACCGTCTTGGAAACGAAACCCTCTGGGGCAGTTCTATGACCTCTTGGGTCAGAATTGACTTTATGGCAGTAGGTTTCAGTTTTATGGAGTCCTTGGAGCCCTGATGGTGCAATAGCTAAAGCACTCGCTGCTAGTCCAAAGGTTGGAAGTTTGAACCCGCTGCTTTCTTGGTGGGAGAACAAGGCAGTTTGCTTCTGTGACAACTTACAGCTTTGGAAACTATGGGGCTGCTCTTTTGTGTCCTTCAGGGTGGCTGTGAGTGATACTAACTTGGTGACAGTGGTTTTGGGCTTCTGGGGAAGGGACTTTACAAGCAAGTTTCCAAGCTCTTGTTTGAAGTGATAGGCACTGAAGTAGAAATGAGGAGGTTCCAAGTTAGGTTTTTGTGAGCCACCCAGAGTCTGCTGGAAGGCGGCCGGCAGCGTGAACCACAACAACGCTAACAAGGAGACCTGTGACTTGAAGACTCTGTAATCCCAGGGCCCTCTGACTAGCTGCAATGTTGCTTTCCCAGGTTTATTTTTACATTTCACCTGCTCTTAAGATGAGGGGCATTCAGGTGACATACACTGTTTGCTAAAAGGGAAGATTTGAAGTACTCCTAAAGCCTTCAGTCTACCTTATACCCCAACATCAAGAAAACAGAGCTTCTCATCCCTGAACCAGCAGGCAGCCTCATGATAGACGAGGAATGGAATTGTCAAGGCCTTCGTTATACTTGAATCTACAATCAACCGTCATGGGAGCAACAGTGAAGAAATCAAAGGACATACTAGACTGGGCCGATCTGCTGCTCAAGACCTCTTTGAAAAGGCTAGAGAGCAAGGATACCACTTTAAAGACTAAGGTGGACCTGATTCAAGCCATAGTATTTTTCCAGTTGCTTCCCATGCATGTGAAAGTTGGGCAGTGAACAAAGATCCAGGAAGAATTGATGCCTTTGGAGGGTGGAGAATCATGAACCATCCCCTGGACTGACTGCTAAAAGAATAAGTAAACCTTGTCTTGGAAGCAAGGATGATGAGAGTTTTGTCTCATCTACTTTGGGCATGATATCGGGGGCCGAGTGGGAAGTCAGAGAAAGAGACGAAGACCCTCAAAGAGAGGCACTGATATGGTGACTGTGGCACAGATGGGTGACACAGGACCAAGCAGAGTATTGTTGTTGTACAAGGGGTTGCTTTCGCTTGGAAGCTGGTTCCATGACACCAGGAACAAAGGAGGTGCCCACATGGCTACCCCTCCCCTCCAGCACGTCAAGCGAGGGCCACAAGCGGTGTCCAGGGCCATTTAATGGGGGATAGGGCAGAAGTAGGGGCGGGGAGGTGACGGAGCTGGGGCACAGTGACTGTTACAGAAGCAGCAGCAGCAGCAGGCCCAGCGCCAGGCCCCCAGTGGCCCCTGCCAACCGGGGGGCCATCCGGGGGGCCGCGTTGCACAGATCACCCGAGCAGCAGTTGGTGACGAGGCTGTAAGTGACGCCCATGTAGGTGACCGGCTGCTCGTGGCCGCAGTTGGGGGAGCTCATGCAGCCCTTGTTGGTGACGGGGCTGACGCCCGGGGCCACCCCGTGGCCCGAGAAGCAGTCCTCCTCGTCGCCACAGGTCATGCGCGTCTTGGGACAGTTGGAGGTGTCGGTGAGCTCACAGAAGAAGCAGGTCTTGACGCCCCACGTGCCCATGGGCAGCACCAGCAGCAGGAGGCAGCCGAGGAGCATGGCCTTCGGGCCGGGCCAACAGGGCCCGAGCCAGGCCGGGGCCAAGCTGGGCCTCCCGGGACGGCAGAATCGTGCTCCGTGCACCCGCAGGTGACACCTGGGTCCCTCAGCAGCCGACAGCAGAGTTAGCATGGGTGGGGGTGGTGTCCTCAGTTGGGGACACAGCGTCCCTCTTGGAGTTTGGCTGTAGTTGGGCTCTTGGGAGTCAGCCAGAGAACGCTGTCCACCCAGGGGCCTTTATGGCACGGAATGGGGTGACCTCACAGAACCCTATTCACAGAACTTCCCACTGGGTGAGGTCACTGGTGGAGGAGCGGGGAGTGTCACAATTCAAGGGGCTGTAAACCTGTTCCTGACCCTCTGGATGACCCTCCCCAGGTTTCCCAGGAAACCAGTGACATTCTGACCCTTGGTGACCCTCCCCCCAGCTTCTGAGCTTGCCGGAGCTCTGAGCAGATGGAGGCTTTCTCCTGGTGGACTTGAACTGCCCACCTTTTGGTTAACAGTCTGACAAATTAGTTAGTGACACGTTATGCCATCAGGTCCCCTTTTGGGGTGACGTGGCACCTAGCAAAGGTAAAAGATATCCTGGGGTGCACCTGCCTTCCATGAAGGGCTGAAGTCCCACCCAGGTCATGGTGGACACAGCCAGGCCCGTGTCAGTCGCCACCAAGTAGCTCATAACTCCTGGTGACCCCGTGCATTTCAGTGCAGAATTGTGCTCCCTCCGTAAGAGTCTCAGTGGCCAATTTTGGGGGGATTCTATCTGCAGGTCTTTCTTTTGAGGCACCTCTGAGTGGGCCTGAACTGCCAACCTTTCAGACAGCAGCCGAGCTTGTTTTAACCCTGGCAGCATCCAGTGACAATCCTCCTCCGTTGTTGTGGGGTGCTGGCTAGGTGATTGCATGCTTGGTCACCCCACAGGACAGCAGGGGTTCCCAGGTGACAGCTTACAGGAACAGATCGCTAGGGCCGCTTGGTGAATTAGAACTGCCAACCTTCTGGGAAGCAGCCAGGTGCATCGCACCACCAGGGCTCCTTCCATCCTGCTCCACAGATGGAGAGGCTGCCGCTCAAGAAGGGGGGAGTGTGTCATCAGAGGCCCCCAGGACTGACAACCCAAAGCCACTCGCTACCTTATCAGCTTTCTGGGGCTTCACGTTGTCCTCGGAGACCAGCTGAAGGCCTAGTCGCAAGAAGCTGCGATGCAATCCCAAAGGCATGCAGTTCAAGACCAAGAGAGGCTTTGTGGGAGAAGGATGGGCAATCTCCTCCCGTGTGACTTCTCATGCACCGTGGAGTCAGAACCGACCCACAGCTGACCCTCTGGTGGGTTTTCAGAGGCAGTTAATC